CTCATCCTACTCTTACTTACTTCTCCTTCCTCTCCTCCTTCTAGTCATCTTCCTTTTCCTCATCGTCATTTTCCTCCTCCTCCTCTTTCTCCTCATCTTCCTTTCCCTGCTTCCTCTCCTCCCCTCCTCCTCCTCCTCCTCATCATCGCTGTAGACAGCAAAAAGACAAAAAATGGTGAAGGCTGAGTAAAATTTCCCAATTTATAATGAGTGTAACGTTTCGTCACTTGGAGGCTTCGTCAGGAACATTAAGAAAATAGAAAGACGTAGTCATCATCATCATCATCATCATCATCATCATCATCATCATGTGTGTGTGCCCGTTTGTTCGAAACCAGGCTCATGGAGAACGCATTTTTAATGATGACTTTTTTTCTCTTTATCCTTTTTCGTTAACACTAAAATGCATTTCATTTGGATTGCTAACGCTTGTCTTAGGGTTGACACTGGAACATAATGAAGTAATTTCTCGACAGTGACGTTGGAGCCACTACATTTATAAGATTTATAGTAAGTTTTACTTGGACGCCACTTACAAATTACATTTGTAAAGAAGGCTTATCATCAGCAAACTGATGAAATGTTCTAAGCCAAGATAACAAAATTCAACAAGAGAGGAAAAAAAACAACAACTAATAAACTGTTTCAGTATTTTAATAATTCAGCAAGTTGATAAATACAACATGTATTTTTTATCGCTTTTTCCAACAATTAGAATTAGAATTAAGACAGAATATTTCTAGAGCAACCGATTCAACAGCTGATAAAGAAACGGCAACTTAAACATTAAAAAGTCAAAATTTTGGGATAAGTATATTCTAACTCTTGGCCCACGCTATATTATTTCTGTTTTGTTAAAAAGCTGCACATTATTATCATTCTTCGAATTTATCATTGCAGGAACTGGGCAAAGAAAATCTGAAAGACTTTACTGTGAGTATAACAGCTTTCTGATGTCTTCGTTTTCGTTTGAAATTAGAACTTCATGCAAACCTATCTCTTCTGAAATACTGAATAGAAAAAATAATAAGAAGGGATTCATTAGTACAATAGTAAAAATAATATTTCAGTCGTGATTATTATGTGTATACAAAGAAAACAATATGAACAAACATCAGGATTATGGTTTCGAAGCCCGTCCTCCTCCCCTTGTTGCTGTTGTTGTTGCTGTTGTTGTTGTTGCTGTTGTTGTTGCCGTTGTTGTTGTTGCAGTCGTCGTTGTTGCAGTCGTCGTTGTCGTCGTCGTCGTCGTCGTC